TGAATGCTTGTGAAGTGACAATCGTTTCGAAAAGAAAACGCTGGTTTCGCCAAGGATGCGATGCGGTATCGAGGAGTGCTCGGTACATCTCTTCAACCGTGCAAGATTATTCAACTGCAGTTAGGTAGGTGGCTAGCCTGAGATGTTTGTAGCTCCAAAAGAAGGTGAAATTTTGAACTGCTTGTTTTGATAATAAATGCGGGGGGAGTCTGTTAGTAAGTGCTACTTGTGAGGTAAAAAACGAGCCTCATGTACACAGTGGTAGCCTGCAACAACTGGTAGCACGCCACTTAAACCACGGATCTCTCATATAAGTATACTTGTGCTTGGATGCATTCCAGTAATCGTTGGTGTCCACAGTTTGTTTTTTGACGATCTTGCCCTTTGCAAATTTTGGTGCGCCTATTTTCGTGCCTGTCCATGAATTGTGGTTAAAACTCTGCAAGTTTTGCGTCGGTCAAAAACACTTTAAATCACTTACATTTGTGTTTTTTCAGTTGATTTTCGAAAGCGTACACTCTGTCACATTTTGAGCAACTGAACGTCTTCTCTGGATGTTTTTTTCTAACATGGTTGTTCAGTCCGACCATTATTTTGTAGCTGCGATTGCATCCCGGGACAACACACAGAAACCGATCTGCAATTAGCTGTTCTAGAAGTGAATTTTTTATATTTTTTAAGGGCGGGAGAGGGGCGGAAACGGTAGGAGGGAAAGAGGAAGGGGAGAGAGAGAGGAGGAGGAGAGAGAGCGGGGTTGATAGAGAAGTAGCGGAGGAACTGATTTGAGAAAGCAAAAATTTAAGTTGCCAGTGCCCAGAAGGTTTGGATAGACAGTGCAGCCAGTAGTTCAGTGATAAATTTGAATATCTCGAGGAGTATTGGCATTTTGGGCAATACAGTTACAAGTTCGGTAGACATTTTTTGTTTATGGAACAGTGGCTGAAGATGGTATAAAAAACAGTTGATTCAGTATTTGTAGCTAGATAAATTCAAAGCTCTGCGCAGTCCCGAAACAGTTCCGGTGTAATTCATTTCAGCTTAACCAGTTAAGATATTTAGTGTTTTTTCACATGTACTCTTAATCTTGTGCAAAACTGAAGCAGCAGAGGGTAAAACAATCCACATGCTTGTTTTTGCCAGGCAGTACCCTGCTTTTACAGAAATCCGCAAAATTTACGGAGCCTGTTAAATAAACATGTGACAAATGTGAAAGAAGAGGGACTTTAAATCTGCGGAAAAAGGACAATGTGAATGAAGAACGCGTATTTACCCAGTTCCGCATGATACTCGAGAATCAGTCCGTTGAGCTTGTGCGCAGTCACATCTACCGGAATCAAATAGTACAGTTGAAGATCAGGC